TTACAAAAATGAAAAACTCGTAAAGTACACCGACCGTGGCCGCTGAGTGCATACGTGGAATCTCGGAAGGAATAAAAATTAAAAAATATCGTCGAGGTGCGGGCGCATAGATCGACCGTAACCCTACCGTTGCTGACGACGGGTCGTGGCGGGAACAGCGAGAGAGAGAGAGTGGGAGAGAGAGAGAGAGAGAGAAAGATTAGAAAATAAAAATAATAGTAAAAATTCGAGAAAAAAAATAAAGAACGTAAATACATGTTATATTATTATTATTATTATTATTATACGTTTATATCAGATCGAATGCGTGTGTGTGTATGCGTGCGCGTGCGTACGTACGCACGCGTATACATTTATATATCGGAGAACGGGCGGGACCGGCGATGTTGGTGAGAGGGGTGGCGGCCGTAGTAGCGATGGACGCGGGGGTGTAGAGGGGGCGGGGTTACGAGCCGACGACATTCCGACGTGGTTTTGGAGGGAGCGATCCGGCCCTGGAATGCGGTCGACCTTTTTCCCGCCCGTCTACACACACGAGCGCGCGCGCGCACGCACACACACGTACACACACACACACACATCATCGGAGCCCCGGAGACCAGGTGCGTGACCAGGTGCCGACTATACAATACCTATACAGAATGTACGCGGGCACGCGTGTATATATACGTGTAAGCGAACGCGTAAACACACACACACATAAATGCCGTCCGAAGAGTATTCGTACCGAAAACGCAAGACGGTGTGTGTGTGTGTGTGTGTGTGTATATAGGGTTCGTGCGCGCGCCATCACGTGTTACGGTAAGGAAAAATTCTTTAAAATGCTGTGCTGTGAAAAAAATTCCCCGCATCGCATGTTGGTGACGTAAACACAAACCGATTCCATGGGGTGTTCACGTATTCGTAAACACTTTTACGTAAGGGTGATGATTAATAATAATATCGTTTTCGTATAAAGGCACACGTACTGCCATAGCGCAGTTACATAACACACGGTACTGTAATACAGTGTTTAAAAGAAGAATATCCAATATTCATGTGTTGGTGAACAAAAAATGACGAATTTGGAATAATTATTTAAAAGACTTTCGTTTCTATGATAGCAATACAATGGACTCTCGATAATCCGAAAGATATGAGATCAGAGGACTGTCGGATTTACGGAGTCTCGCATAAAAACGCATCTTAACTTGTTAAACAACCTTAATTGATCTTTTTAAAACTTGTAAAGAATACATACGTACATGCGTACTCATTTATGACGTACTGTGAATTAATCTATTGACTGCACAGTTTGAAAAAAAATTTATAGGTATTTATCAATTTGTTTTTGTTTCATATTATGCTTTTAAAACAAATGTTTAGATAAAATACTACCGGATCTTTGAACGGTTTATCATACAGCCCGATTACCGAGCATCTACTGTATTATATTATTAATACATTTTTATAACGTCAAATTTGATACGTAGTATACGTATACACACGTAGTACATATGGTTTATTTGTATACCTATGGCAATATCGAATTGTTCAAATAATCAACTTTGTGTACTCTAAAGTACGAAATATAGCACAGTTTGTTGGAAACAATGCAATAAACTTTGCTACCAGTATCAAACACAAGCACGACAATTATAATACATGTATGTAATAATATTTTATTTCTTACGAATTGTATCATCTCAACATATATAGTATCTGATAGTATCAGCTGACCTCTCTTGCCATCCGATTTTTAAATTTTCAAAAAAACGCATAATATATATTATCCTTTTGGTTAGTCTAAATTAGATATCATAATCGGTAGATCTATTAGGTCATATACCAATAGTTTCTCAAATACGATTAAATGCACTCTGACATGGTAATGTCAAATCGCACTCTTTTTTAGTAGACTCAACAACGGTAGTTTTTTATGTCCTTCGTGACCACCCGAAAATAATTGTACTGAGTGTCGAATTCTATAATCATTATACGTTAAATAAACAATTTTTTAACGCTTTGACAATAACGTTTCCCATTAGAACACCCGACACATGTTCTTACATGGTACGCGAACCAACAAACAGAAAAAATATTATACACATTATACGGTTTTCAGTAAAAAAAAAAATTATTTTTTTATTAAAATTTTTTAACGACAACATTTCGTACTATGGTGCGTTATACATCGTTATATATCCCCTTATGTGTATTATGTAAGTACACATTTTTAGAATTTATTGCTTGTACTGTTAACCTTGAAAATTAAATCCTGTGATCCGACATGACGTGGCGGAGAAAAGGGGTTATTATTACAACGTTAAATTATTTGATACACCAGAAAAACAACGAAATATCAATGGAATGTTAATTGAGCTAGGCCAAGCCCGAAAAGCTTGTAATAGCTTAATGGTCGCGTGCATATTACTTCATACCTGAAAACCAACAAACCGTGCAGCACGTGGCTAATTAGGTATTCTAGAAGAGAAAAAACAGATTTGAGAGACTACTAAGCTACGCAAGTACCACTAATGCACGGTGCTCTTTTTATTTTTTTTCGGTATATATTTATTTATTTATTACTTATTGAATCCATACTAAGTGCGTATTTACACATAAACAGAGTTATCGTATTATATTATCGTTGTTACCATTACACTCATTGCATCAAGTCAAGCATTATCTTATTTATATTTACTAATAAGTTGTAAACATTTAAATGAAACACTCATTGTCATATTTAGGGAACGGATTTTATTGTAAATACATATTTTTATTGGAATGAGATATATTTTAAATCTGATAAAAAATGTGTATGATTTAGATCATTCTAATTGATATAAACTCAAATTTATTTTACATATTTCGTAAAAAAGTACATATTTTGTACATATTTTATGTAATTTTTTATTTTTTTATTAATTTTTGACAACAATAAATATTTTAAACTTTGTCAACATTTTTGACGACCACCAAATGTATGTTATTTAAATGACATTTACGAACTGATTTCTTGCATTATCATCAGATATGTTTTAGTAGAAAAAAATCAACATTTCTGGATTTCTGGACATTGAATTCACTCCTGATTTAGCAAATATGAATTACGACCCTATCACATCAGTTGATATGGAACAGTATCAATAAGCAGTAAAATAAGCATACTTATATTTATTAGTGTTAAAAATATTACAATGAAACAATCATATGACAATTACTAAAGTCATTAATATTCAATATCATCAGCAGATTTTTAAACATTTTATTAGCTTAAGAGTATCTTTATAAACGGTAAAACATACGCACGTACGCTTATGTATGCGTAAACATTTTTGTGGTTGTTGTATGAGCAGTCATCATACTTGTACTTATGCTACATGCAACTGTGGTACGAGGAATGGTGGTACGAGGAAAGAAGAACCATAAATCTCCATCAGATCGAGTTACAACGATTTACTGCCAAAACAGGTATTTGTATTGAATAACTATTTTTTCGTTGAACGCGAAGGATCCGCCAAAACGACCTCTGAAAGGCGACGATCATTAAATTTCGGGACATAGAAGTCCTATGGTTTTAACCATAAAATGAAACCCATTTATTTTACGAATGGAATTTTTTTTAATACGTTCTCGAATATGATTAAATATAAAGTATGTGTCTGTGTGTCTATATATAGCATACAAGTTATTCGTGCTAGAGGTGTCTGATGGTGTATAACACAATGAATTCGCAATAGATTATATTATTATTAGATTCAGTTTCCAAATGTTTCAGAAGAGAAATATATTTAACTCCGGAGAAGAATTTCAAATCTGCCAGCTAGTTTTCTGTACAGTAAATATCCGCGGTTAATATATTTATACACTTTTATGTTTCTATACAAACGACTAATATATTAGTATATTATATATACGTATATATATATATTATGTAAAGTATTGAGTTTTATAAAATTAGTTGACACCTTGTTATTGAGATTCAAACTTAATTTCCAATTATAGAAACGAGTTTATTTCCTATGTTTTGACATTTGGTTCGTAGACAGGCCTACGAGAAACTATTCTAGATGGTTGATAGATACGTACCAGTGTAAATTATTATAATAAAATCCAATATAATACTCCATTATGGTACGAGTTTCATGGACAATTCTAAAACACTAGATTGTTTTTCATCTCTCGATAATAATACCTACACTTTCTCAAGACCTTTTATCGGTGTTCAAACCTAGACGTTTTTCACTTCCTCTGCATATCGCATGTATCCTCACGTTTTTTATGTACCATTGTACTATACACGATTCATAACACACCGCATTATACCGGCAAACACACGTGTGTTGGTCTTGGCTTTTGTTATTCCATCGTTATAATATGCATGCAATACAGTCGAGTCCAACCACTATGGTCAGGTTAGGGGCGCTAAGAAGAATGAGCAGTCTAAAAGGAAACAAAGCACAGGAATAAGTGTAAATGCGTGTTGGAAAACCAAAACTGCTGTAAAATGTTAGTCAGATTTAGGTTCTCGCGATGTGTTAGTCCTAAGCCAATTATGTCGTTGATCCGGCTCTAGTTCGACGCTCCGTAAATAGTATAATAATACGTTCAAATAGAAATCCACTTGCCGAGAGTATAATAATGGTATCGTGTAATATTTATTTTTCAGCGGATATGGCAATTGAAACGTGCCTACAGAAGCCGTACGAGCCGTGCGATTCGGAATCCATCTCAGTGGTGAAGATGCGCGTGCAGCGTAGTTCGTTAGATGATTTTTTTTATCGATATACGCCTACGGAAACGTACGTAAGTGGTCGGACCCTGCAGCGAGTTAACACTGTTCCGAGGGCCGTCCACACGTGGTGTGCCCCCGTGTTGATAAAAAGGTTTTACGACGGAGCGGGGGAAGGATAACCGTTCTGAGCCGCGTCCCCGTCCACGACTGTACGTGCCACCACCTTTACAAATGTCTACACGGTATTCGTTAAATGCATTCTGTTTAACGAGCGCGTCCTTACCTTCATAGGCCGTGCGTCGGGCTTTTAGAGGCCGAGATTGTTCCGACGCTCGTGATGGCGCATCGGATATTGTGTGCGGATGGTTTTCACGCACCACGACCGTTTTCTGTTTTCGGCGCGCACGTGCAGGACGCGGCGGCGATTGGCGCGCGCGAGCGCACTCTTACGCACTGGCTGCGGCGATGATTTTCGACGTAGCGGGAAAGCGTCGGCGTTCGAGAACCGTGCAATAACGGGGGAAGAGGGGAAACGATTTATTTCGAACACGTGACTCCGGTCGACCGGCGCTTTTGAAAACCACGACAACGGGCGAAAGGCACGCGAGCACATACACGCATGGAACGCACTCGTCGGGAGAACACTTTTTCGCGCGTTTTCAGCTCGGACGAAGAATAACGCGACGACGAAAAGGGAAGGAGAGCAAAGGACGCGCGTAAAAGATCGAAAGAAAATGGGCGCGAAATACGGCAAATGGCCGACGAGAAAACGGACGGCGACGCGCCGCGATTACATGCGTGTCTGCGTGACCACGGCGAGCGGTCGTCTGACGCGCGGCACCGAACTGGACGGACGGGCTCAGCGGCGGCGGTGGAGGCGAAGATGACGAGGAGGTTAGTAACTACACACACACACGCACGCGCGCGCGCGCCTAACTACTACCACTTATACTACTACTACTACTACTACTACAACTACTACTAATACTACTATAGTTGAGGACCGGTACCAAACAAAACTGAAACCGAACGACGACGGCTACGTGCGTATACGTGTACGGCATGCACGCGCGGATAATGTGTAATGCCCCCACGACGGTTCTCTGTTACGTCGTCGTCAGACGTTCTCAGAATGGACACGCACGGCTTTCGACTGCTCGCACACGCGCTGCACCACGCCGCAGCTTTTAGATGCGCTAGGCGCACCCTCCAACGCGTAACGTACGGGAGGGGGGGAGGGCACACGTCGATGTTCCTGTTGTTATTGTTATTGTTATTGTTGTAGGATGCGGAACCTGAACTCAAATCTAACTTGGCTTGTTCTGGACGATTTTGTTCCTCGAGACGTAACGAGGTTTGTATTGCATCATTCGACGTTTTGGTGCGCAAAGTGCACGAGTGAAAGGTGTACACGCGAACCCGATCTGTAAGTTTTTAGATCGTAACGCGGATGCAGCCTATGATGCGGATACGTCGAAGAAGTACATGATGATGACGTTTTGCTCTGGTATTCGTCAGGAGAAAAAAGAAAAGGACACGATCAATTATTTACAATCAGATGGCTATCGTGAGATAATTATCAACGGTCATCTGAAAAATAAAAATAAGCAGTCAATGACAAAATCAGTGTCATATCATAATTGTTTTTCTAAAACAACTAAACAATCGTGACGCCAACGAATGTGAATCGCCGATCGTGATCGCGCAAGGAAAACCGACTGGATTTAATTTACACAATTTTCACACTTTATTAATAGTCGCGCCATGTTGGGGTGCGATCGCGTTAAAGAAAACGAACTTGAACACGGTAGTGGCGGGTGCGTGAAATCATAGTCGTATCTGAGATAATAACACGATAATAGTCCGGCGGCGGACCCGAATCTCAAGAAATCTGCAAATTTAGGCTGGACATCACGGCGAGCCACTTCATTTTATATTTTTAACTTTTTTTTTTGTATTAATATCATAATATTTTTCCTTTTTTATTTGGCACGTGGTGAGACGAGAATAAGCAAATGCAGTAAGAGTTGTTATGAAAATGAACGCTGAAGGGAAAATATGTGGTTGGATATGATTGTGAATGATATGAAGGCCGTTGGTGTGTACGTATGAGATGTAGGAAATCGAGACGAGTGGATGTTTAGGACAAGGGTGGTCGATCCCAAATAGTTGGGAGGAAGACGAAAGAGAAGAGGAAGATTTTTCATTATTCATTAACAACAACAATATATTATTTTTATGTTTTGAGTTGATTAAGATCATGTTTTCCGGATCGAAATCACTTAACCGATCCCCATCACTACGATAATCGTACGTAAACAAATGTTGCACGTTGCAGGGCCGCAATTTTATCTTTTACGTCATCTTGACGGCGCTAATTACGTCTAATCGTTGCGATTTCAAGTTGTTCAGATTGTCATATTTAATAATATTCATAGATGCTATTGATATTAGTTGGCTCATTTTGTTTACCAAGTTACCTTTTCACAAATTATAACATTACCCGTAACATATACACATATTAATAAATAGTTAAACAATTTTTCAGTAAAATATTCGTACATATGACCTTAAAACCCCTTTTTTTCTTAAAATTTCATGTTTGCAGTTTTCACTGTACTCAAATGCCTTGCGTTTAAGTTACCAACAGTGTTTTTTTGTTTCTAATAATTAGTAATATTTTTCAAATCATTTAAGTTATAATTAGATAAAAAATTACACAAAAAATTGGAAAATATAATTGAACTAAAATATAACAATTATGTGACGATTTAAAACAAACGTTTGGTTTTATTATAATATTTATAACATATCATAGATTGGAATTTTTTCAGTCATCTTCTTTTCTACAATAATAATTATTATTTATTTATTATACGTAGTGCTCGAATTGGGCCGTGGGCAGACGGAGTCCCCCCTGGGGATGTTTACTTGGGGGATCATACGTTTGGGCGTATTTAACCAATATAGAAAACTTTAGGACGTAAATCTATAAAAGGTTTGGGCGTCATATTTCCCTTAATAATAGTACGTTTATGCGCATTTATTTCTTTACAACATTTTGTACTAATCTGAGCCTATTATCGTTACCCAGAAGCAGGGGCGGATTGGCAATTATTTTCGGCACAGGAAATATGAAACAAACCGGCCCATGAACCGCAAATTAAACTATTTTACCCCTTCCCCCTACCAAAAAAATGTTTTATTTTGCATCAATTTCAAAATTTGTTTAATTTTACCCCTAAATTAGTAAAATCTACAGTAACTTTACTATAATTATAGCTATAATAGTTTTGGGTAAGTCACATGATTAATCAGTTCCAACTTAAACTTGAAGTTTGATCTTATTGCATCTTTAAATATATATTTATTTTTTTAATGATTTTTATTCATTTTACAAAATAAAATATTTTTTGGGGAATTATATAATAATATAGAGCGGCCCAAACAAGGACCTGCCCATCGGGAAGATTCCCGATTTCCCGATAGGCCAATCCGCCCCTACCCAGAAGACACCATGAAGAGATTGGCTCAATAGTCTTCCAAAAATATTTTGAGATTTTTTTTTATACGTCTTAATTTAATTTTTGTTTACTTTTAGTTAATTATTTACTAATACTATTCTATATTGTGATATTTTTATGTACAACATTTTATGTGATTAATTCATTTTTTTTCCCCGCAAAACGTGGTCCTAATTTTTTTATGTAATTCAATATATTTTTTTCAACTATAATTTTCCCAACATTTTTATTCAATTGTTTGTTTTTCTTCAGTTTATTATTTTAATTTATTAGTTTTTTTTTAATGCTCTTTATTTTTAAATTGGTTTCCGTTCAAATTTCAATCAAGACGTTGATAACATTTTGATGATTTGGATGTTGCTTATAAAATTGTTGCTTATAATTTGAATGGAAATATTCTGGTCCAGTAGTTGTTCTTGGGTATGTTTTTGGCTCTTCGGCCAAAGTAAGAGGTGGAAATTGTGAATCTTCAGATATGTAATTGTTAATTATATAATCAGTAAATTCTGTCACATCGGACGGCGCTATAGACATAAGCTCAACAAAACCAAATTCAACCTTATTAGACAATGTTGAAGTCAAACCCCAGTAACTGTATCGTCGGTGGAATGTTTCAATAAATGTTTGCAACTTAGTATTTTAAGAAACTAACTCGATTATACTAGACTTTCGATTACTAGTTACAATACCTATTGTGCCCAAAAGTGTTTCCATATATGCACCCAACCGTTTCAGGTAAATTTCTTATACTGAGCCCAAACGGGTTAACCCCGTTTACTTTTGAACGGTGTATTTGGATATTATTTTCGCTTATTTTTATTTTCTATATCAAACTGCAAAGTAATGGTTATTTTTTCCTAGAAAACGGTTATCGTTGATGACAATCACGGAGTAAGATAATAATCATGGCTAAATAACTATATGATTTTGAAGCGATTTCGGTTGTATAGATGTTTCTACTTTTGACAACCTTTTGAGAACTTTTTGTTTAATTTTCCACCAATTGACAAGATTAACACAACAAAATGGATTAAATCGTGGATTAAGAAAGGCAAACAGGAGAGGAAAAAAATTATCCTAAAAGGATAAAAATTACTGAAGAAAATGCATACAAGTCATTGTGGAATTTAATTGAATAAAAATATTTATTTCTGTAATAAGTATTATTATTTTGCTATCAAATAATATTATAGTAATAAGCAAATAAATATTATATAATAATTCTACCTTTGTAGTGCCATATTATATGTTCTGGGGGTAGGGAGGCATGGAGTCCACTACGAGTTACTTTACAATTTATCAGCTATGGAATGGTGTTTTTTTAACTAAAACCCGGATCCGTAATCAAATTGTTTTCCAATTCGAGCACTGAATGAATATACGTATCCCTGATGCTCGTTTAATTTTATATATTTCATATATTGTACTAAAGCTGAATATAAATTTAAATATTTTGTTTTGTTGAGTTTACAAAAAAATCAAATAATAAAAATATTAAGTATATATTTTTATTTTTTATATTATTTACATTTATTTTATATTTTTTTTTATCTTTGTTATTGATTAAAGCATTATTAATTTTAAATGACTTTAAAAACTAAATCAAACATGACTTGCATTTATTGTTTTCAAATATTTATCATTTAATGTAATTAACGATATATATTCTCTTATTATTATATAATATTATGTATTTATCATTTTAATAAACATAAGTTGTCAATACTATGTACGATTAACACAATAATTAGCCGATATTTTTTAGTTCAAAGCTATTCCGATATCTGGCCTCACATACTTTTATTTGGTTAAATGTATTTATATAATAATTGTACTTGTAAAATTTTTAATTTTTAAAATCATCTAATTTTCAATACTTTTATATTGAAGTTTGGTTAATGATTTGATTTATTTTGTAATATTTTTAAACTACAAGTAAATTAAATTAATTTGTCCAAGTTAATGCGGACATAAGCATTTGTCTTGCTAAAATAAATAATAGTTACAGTTAGATATTATGAACAATAAGCATTTTATCTTTCAAAGGTCATTTTAAACAATGCTTTGTATTATATTTTCTTCCTTTTATATGATGGCTAACAATTTAATCTAAAAATCATTCATTTCTATGATTCAAAGGCTTATTTCAAGTTTAACTACAATCCTGACCAATATTATAACGATTCAAATCAAGTATAACTTATATAACAATTATATGAAAAAATAATTTTTATTTTTTATGTAAATGAACAGTACTATTTTGATATTTATAGAAAATTATCCTTAATATAAAAATTCCTAAATGCAATTCTGTCCAAAATTCTTATTTAAATTGTGAGATGTAGCTTCGCTTTTTCAATAATTGTTTGTTTTCGACAGTTGGTTCTGCAAAATAATAA